TCAACTTGGTGTTAAGCTTAGGCCAACTTTTATGAAATTCAGCAGAATACAAGGAATCACTTAGAAGAAAAATTCTTCAATTCTTAGTGAAGGCATCTCATCTGCTACAAATATTGCTATTCATATGTATACTGTAGAGAGTGATAGACAGCAAATAAAACATTTAGTCCAATTGTTGTATAGTATGGTCTTTTAAGAAGGTAAAATCAAGTAGTTGCTATTAGTTGTGATTGGTTTTCAAAGATATACTGTACAAACATTGAGAGAGCACTTAGATTTTTCGTTTCAAGTAACAGTGACAAGAAACATTTATTATTCTATGTAACTACAGAACAAGTTCTTTTGGATAGATGGCACTAGTTTCTGGGCTTCTATGCAGTCAAAATTCCATTTTTTTAAATCACAGTTAAGTTAAAATCTCGTGTCACTTTTCACTATCCGAGTCTTCTACTTTTGGCATACAACCCATAGTATCCTTTCCTTGGACTATTGCAGTGAGCTCATTTCATCCCCATTTGCATTTCTATCCTAATATAATGGTAACATTATTTGTTAAACGCATACGAAATGCCTCAAGAGCAGTAAAACTCCACCATCAATGTAATTTTTTGATTTATAAAAAATCTGGTTTTATTGATCGCTCTTCTTAAACCTGATCAACAATGACTGAATTATGCCGGTTACATTTGTAATTGAAAGCCACGCGGATGCATATAAAAGTGTTTGATATGACCTGGTATCGGTGAACATTAGTAATAAATATGAACACTAGTGTAATATAAAGCGGCGAACATGATTCAGTTAGACACTAAAATGACTGGTTGAAATAAGACAAACAGAAAAGCAGCTGACGGTGGTTGGCACTATGGTGAGATTTTCTTATGGTAGATCAACAAACAATTGCGAAAATTAGTAATCAAATATATAAGATAATGAACATTTTTATGTTCTTAATGTCGTTGAGAAGTTGAGTACTTGAGGCGAATGTTATGTCTCGATTTTGTGTTTCATTTTATATGAACCGTGCGAATGACCGAAAACTAATTGATCGGTGTGTTTAGTTGTTCTTTTTTATAGATGAAATTAAAGCCAAATACGTACTATTTCTGTATTTTGCATGCTCTACAGCATTAAGGAAAATAAGTGATGATAAAAATCATTTTCTAAAAGTACTTTTTTTTTATTGGTCTTCCTATCGTATGATTAGCAATTTCGGAAATGTTCACCGAATATAAAGCTGTTTTTGAGCTTTCGACGTTATACAACGAATCATCACAAGATGTTCTCGTTTCATCTGTTTTAACAGAGGTGTACCGAGCATCTCAGAGCTAAGGGGTTCTGCCAAAAAAAATTTCGTTCTTCAAAATAAAATGTTTTTTTAAAGAACGAGAGACAAAACAATGACTTTTCTGAAACCACGGGACGTTAACCCCTCACACACACACACACACACCGCAGGTACACCCCTGTATTTTAATTTTAGAAAAGGAATACTTTTAAAGTTTTTAACTCTTTATCGTATGACAGTACAGTTCGCTTTCTCAAAACTATGAACCGTTCTGGCACATGCTAACTCATTTTTCAGATCTTAATTAGAAAGCAAGCAATTTAGATAGGGTCTTTTGCTGGCTTATCAAGCCGGAAACAACCAAATTTGATGACTAGATACATTAATGCAAATAAAGGAAGATTTTTCGGAGAAAACCGATGGATTAATTGCTTTTAGCAATAATAAAATCAAGAGCAGGTAGTTTTTTTTACAAATTGGATGATAAACAAATAGACAGATGCTTATTTCAATTTTGAAGCGTAATAGTAATTTATAGGTAAAGTAAGACAAATGTATACAAAACACCGTTTGATTCGTTGAGAGCGGTAGCGGTCTCTTTCCAGGAAAGAGAAGATCCACTAGAAAGATAACTTCACATCTGTTTGTCTGAAACTTGTTTTTCTCTATCGTAATCCAGCTAACTTTTGGACTTCTACATTTGCTGGACGGTTCGCACGAATTTGAGTAGTGCAAGCTTCTTTCCTATAACTTCGATTTGGCTGAAAGTAAAAAGAACAATAAATTACTTCTTACGAGCTGGACTCTGAAAACTGAATTCTCTCTTTTAGAATTTAGCGTTATTTGTATTTTTAAGATAAACGAATTTTGTGTGTTGTGATACATTTGTCTCAGATGCCATAAACGTTTTTATTATTATTATGAGCGACAATGAGGTGGTATTATCCGATGCAGGAGACGGAGGTATATATTTAATGTGTTATTATCATACTGTGTTTGTAACACTTCGATTTTTTTAGACAATTCTGTTGAAATAGAACCCGGAGTTAGCGATGTTGACGCACAGGAACAAGAAATCATTGTGGCTGCAGTACTGGCTGCTGCTATCAATGACGAGTCAATGACATCATCATCTGTTCAATCAATTTCAACAACTGTTCAGAGTCGTATCGATGAATCAATGAGTGATTTCGTTGAGCCTCAATACAAACGATTAAAAGTCGAAGGACCAGCAGCAACAACAGCAACAGTGTCAGCGACAAATTTGAATGAAACAGAAAGTGACACAGAGGTAAATAATGACATATTTTGTTTTCTAATGGAAAAAGCATGTTTTTATTTTGTTGTTATTAGACTTGTCCAATTTGTTTGGAAGAATTTACAAATTCTGGTTTACATCGAGTAGTTGTACTTAAATGTGGACATTTATTCGGAAAGAAGTATGCCCTACTGATTGTGCAAAAATCTGCTACAGTAATGTCATAGGTACTTGGCTTCCGATAGCAAAAGTATTTAGGCACCTTGTAAGTCTTTTTTTAGGTACTACTGCTAACCACAGCCAAGTATTAAAGTACCTAACAAGTAATTTTAGGTACCCATCCAAGTAATGTCATAGGTGCTTAGATATACTTGGCTTACGGCAGTCAAAGTTCTTAGGTACTCAAATTCAAGTACATTCATCAGGGTGTGAACTGAAATCTATTAAGATCTATTTAAAAGGATAACGTATACTTGGTAGCTAGAAGAGAAGAGAACGACTAAAACGTTGAAGTTTTGAATGTGGAATATCTTCTCTCTTGGAACTTAGGAGGCTATGGTTTAGATATGAATTGGTTTTATGCATAACAGTGTCCTTCAAGATTTGCTTATCATTTTAGTTGTATAGAAAAATGGTTGAAAAATACTCCGAAATGTCCACATTGTCAGCGTAAAGCCAAAAAGACGGATGTTCGTCCTATATATTGCCGCGCGTTAAAAGTAAGTTTTTCTGCTAATCTTTTATCTTTTCCGTTAACCTTTTAAACTGTTTCTCTATCTTAGGTTTTGGACACCAGTGAACGTGATCAAGCGCTGAAAGAATTAGAAAAAGAAAAAAAATTACGTCGTCAATTACAATTTGATGTGTCCAATTTACATTTACAGTATCAGATTATATTAGAACAATATTCAAAATTACAATCAGACCATATGATATTATTAAAGTAAATTTGGAATCTACATACGTTTTGAATTTAACTTAAATATTCTATTTTAGCAGTGGAAATAGTAGTCACGCTGCAGCATCGAGAAATAGCATGAGTCTTCCGTCAACGTTGAGTGCAGCATCGACAACCACACCTGTAACATTTAATATTACTCTCGAAAAAGTTGTTACACCTTCAGAAGTATGATTTAATGAAAATAAATCGATATTATACTCTAGCAAACATTATTTCTAATTTCTTTATTTAGCAAGGTGGATGTCGCATTTTGTCTTGTTTACCTTCACAACATTGGCTATTTGTTAGCCAGCCATCACCATCGCCACAATTATTTCCTGGTTATGGTATAAGAAAAGTAGGTTTTCGTAATTGTAAAATTCAGACGGAAGAAACAATAATGTTTATAAAACGTCACATGAAATATTTGTGGATATATTTATATTCACCATATTGGATCAAAAAGGGTGATTTATCCTTTGATAGTGTGATAAACGATCAACAGAATAGCTTTCTACCTGTTACTATGAATACGTGAGAATTTAGATTTTATGTTTGCAAATTCTCTGCTAAAGAAGCAAACATTTCTAGTTCGAATAAAAACTCATAGAGGTTGTTATCGGCAGATTATTATCTATCAAAAAGTCCTCAACTAGAATAAAAAAGTTTTTCTATAGATACCTATCGTGCTTTATCTTTCAACTTTCAAGCAACAATATTTCCTTTCAATCTGGTCTGTGATATGAAAATAGATACTCTGAACTTTAGTAGAAAGATCTGATAGATTTTAAAATGTTACCTGAGGATGAAAGATGGAAAGAGCATGATCTTTTAGCAAAACGTTACAATTTATAATCCTTCCTTCAGTTACTTGGATGTAATAAAGTTTTAATCAAACGAAACAGTACGATAGTAAAGAACGTAGTTTTTCTAATAACAAAAACATTGTTTCTATTTAGATAAGTTTACTGGATGGGCGTGTATTAGAATATATACCCATTCATCAAAATTTAATTCGTGATGTAGCAGTAAAGCATTCAGCAATTGATGAAGGCCTTATATTGACATGCAGTGTTGATAAAACATTACGAATTTCAAGTTATCATAACAAAAGTTGTCTTTTAACGTAAGTTCTACTAGGTCTCTTGGTATTTGCTATTTTAGTTGTTTTTGTATATGTATATGTTCAGTTGTAATTGCTCATCACCTGTATGGAGTTGTTCTTGGAATAATGACGATGAAAATCTTTTATATGCTGGTCTCAACTCTGGCATTGTACAAGTATTCGATAGAAGAAATCCATCGGCAAGTGTGGATAATTTAAATTTTGAATCACAACAACAGTCACCAATTGTCAGTTTACAATATGTACAGAAAAACCTGGCAACTACGTAAGAGTTTTATATAGATAGAATGATATTTATTTTATACGTATGATTAATATTTCAGATTTCCACAAGGAATACTTGTTGGTAGCATGGGAAAAAGTTGTTTTTATGAGTACAATCAAAATACAGAATATCGGTATCATGCACTACCATTAGACAGTAAGTTTAATAAATTAAATTTAAAAGAAAAAGTTTTTTAGTTGGAGTATTGGCAAAAGCCAGTTAACGACAGTGTTTAAACAGTAAGAATTACGTAGTAGCATCAATTACTTTGAATATGTGCATAGACCATACATGACTTCGAACTTTTTACATATTTGTTTAAAATTTTCTTTTTTTAATAGAAAGTTTATCATCATTACATTATGTATCTGAAACAAATCAACTTCTCGCTTCATTTCGACCATCTGAAACTTGTACACATACACGACATCAGGTAAATGGCAAAATTGTTTGCATCTTTCTAGAAAAATGTACGCTTGAAACACTAAGTGTAATACGGAAAATGGAAGCGACTGATTGAAAGCACATTGTGAAAAATGATTTTGTGATGCGTTGAGTAATAATCTTCTGTAGAAACGAAAAGAAGGACGACAGTTTATCGTGAAAGTTACTGGAGTTGTAAATTTTTATAATTATATAACACTAAGATTTTCTATTGTTTAGCTATACGAATTATCATCTCGTCCAATTGAAAATAACGAATCAATGATAACATTAAATTTGATTCGATCATTTGATGGTTCAAAAGTTCAAAAGTTATTATCACGTTCGAAAATATCGATTCGTAATGAACAAAGTTACATTATATCCCCTGATGAGGAAACAAAAGGAGTAAGTAAATTGTTTCCACACTATTAGTTTCTATATTCTTGAGAATTTCTACGGAAAATGTTTCTTAGCGTAAGAAGATAAAATACAAAAATTGTGCTCTTTGACGTCTTACTAAATAGCATAAAATGCTGAAACCTTTTTTAGATTCAAATTTGGAACGTTAAAAATGGTTCAACAAAAATTCCCACTCAAAATGATATATTCGATGTTTGTTCGTTTGATGTAAATAACACGACTTATATAGCCGCATTAGCGGAAAAGCAACTACGATTTTATCGATGGACATAGTCTGTCGTATGTTTGATTATCAGATATTTTTTTCTGTTATGTATATTGTTCCTTTTGTTGTTGTTTTTTTGTTATACAGCCTGTTTATTATGAAATATGTTAATGAGCATTTTTTTTCTTTTTCTCTTTTTTCTCACTTAGAAAGTTAGATAATATATACGTCAGACATATCTACTTATCTTTGCTTTGTTACTTTATCCATCGTTCAACTCGAGCAGGAAGGGCTTTTTGTAGTCTTGATAGAAACGTACTAGAAAAGAGCGATTTGTTGTTTTTTACGGAGTTTTAAGTTTGTTATTTGCGTCGTTTTATTTCAGATCAATTTGTTTGTATGTTGTTTCGATTAGAGCTAAAGACATGATGACAACAATGGAGGCGAATAAAGTTGCCCGAGTATCATAGAAACCAACAATCAAATTAACAAGTAATGATGCACAAACATTTGAAGTTAGTCGGGATTTTATCAAACAAGCAACAACTATTAAAGAAATACTCGATGGTGCCTGGACCCCTTATTTGCGTGATGGATTCGTACTACGGCCAATTATTTGCGTTCGGGAGGCCTAGCAATCCTTAAATTCTCATAGAATCACTTATTTTTACTCTAATGTTATTACAAACAGCTAGTCTATCACACGATTGTATCTGATGAGGTCCTGCCGTTATAATGTATCGTCTTTATACATTTGTTCTCTCAAATTTTAGGGAAAACTGGCTCCGCCTAAAATCACAGAATATACAGATATTCTTTTATTGAAGAGAAATTTATTTTCAAACTCTCTGCCACCTATCCTTATAAGAATTTCAAGAGTAAATAAACTAAGAAAATAGATATTCACATTAAAATAACTCTCTCACTTGACCGGAAAGTGGTGTTAAGTTCGCGAACGTCTTCTTTTGAACAGAACATTCTTCCTCTTCAATAATAAAAGCAGAACAAAACTTTTAAGAAGAGTGTGTAGTGATTTTTCTCCCTTAGTTTCTTGACTGGAACGGGTATCTGGAGAACTTCTGAACAAAACCAACACATTAGCTAATGGTTTTGGATATTTTATTTAGTTGATTAGTTGTTAGTTATACCAGTACCTTCTGGCATTAATGTAGAAATTATGTTAGATGGTTGTTTTACTGTAGAATTGAAAGAGGCGTGATTACTGTGTTAAGATCGAACTAAGTTGACTGTGACGTATTCTAATTCGAGAGCCATTACTGTTGAAAGCTATCAATAATAGAACTCGAACATGTTCTTTGTGGTTTATGGACTTTTTTCTTAGCAGTTACCTGAGACAAATTCCTTACGTGCACCCTACTTTATTTTTTACCCAGGGGCAAAATAGCACCTTCAGTTATCTACTATAAGAAAGTTTGGAAATAGTGAACATTAACCTGGCGAGACGAAACAAACTCAAAGTGTTACTTCTTTAAAAATCTGAATATTTAAATTCTTTTTATAGTTTCTTGATTTTGAATATTCAACACCTTAGAAACGCTCTATTTTTTTATTATAATACCTTTTCTTGGCATTATCTGAAAGACATTGAAGCATCGACGCGAAAACATCGTAATCTTATGAACTTGTTTCGGAACGGATGAATATTCTGGCTTGTATTTTCACTTGAGTTTCAGCTAATTTATTTTCGATTATTATTTGAATATGTCAGAGAAACAGCAAGCACGATCGCAATCTCGTAAATTACGGTTAATGATTTGTCATTATACTGAGAACGTTTTGTACCACTTGATAGTGTCATTCTTTACGTTATACTTTCTTAGAATACTGTTTTTAAGAGTCTCTTTCTTTTCATAAGTAGCCGACCATCAAAAGTTTATTAACCATTTGTTGCAAAACACCCGCGAACATGGTTAGTATTAAGACTCAATTTCGGATAGTTTCAGGCAAGTGCATCCCTGGACCATCCAAAATTCAGTCTTTATATCTGCCATTTTGTTAGACATGATGGAATAGAAAAATCTGAGATGATCTGTAACGACGAGTTAAAACAAAATTTTGACATAAATTTCGGATATCACACTAAAATGATTAATATTTGACAAAATGATCTTTATTGTTCGCTTTTACATCAGAATTCTTTGTTTACCTTTATTTATTAGTAGTTTTGCGCTCTATTATATTTTCTTCTCGCTTTCTATGTGCTTATCTCAAAACGGTATGATGTTATAAGGAACATATTTATGGGTTATATTTATCATGTCCAGTCAGTTCATCTTTTTTTGTAATAACGTTGAACTTGACAAATAAAAAGTTATTCCACTCAGTGACCCGAAATGATTTTGCAATAGAAAATACATTGTAACGCGTAAGAGACAAGATGAAGAAAGGAGACCATATAATATTTCAATACAAAAAAATTCTACCAATAACAGCTGATCCATAAAGAATGTCATTTTCGCCATTTTTCCTTTATCTCTTCTTCCTTCAGTCCACCAGATGAAGAGATTTGTGTTTAAAAAAAGCGCACGCTTTAATCGTGCTAACCTGATAGTTTAAACGTCAAAATCTGACGCTTTTTTTAACGTTTTAAACGTTCTAAGCTGACATTTTAACCATATCAATTTGACGCTTCTTTCAACCTGACGGTTAAAACGCCAGGCCAACATGATGTTTTAACCGTTCGGTTGGAAAAAAACGTCAGGTTGGAACGTTTCAAATGTCTGTATGATTAGGCAGGGTTTGAGTTTGAAAAGGCACACTTTGCTAAAGAATGGTTGAAGGAAATGCCCTTCAATTATTTATTTCTCTCGAAACTTTCTGGTATGTAGAGTGATGCATATAATGACTCAGTTTATGCACTTTGCATATATGTTATCTGGACTGAATTCATTGAATTAATATTTTAAATTAAATGAAGATTCTAATTATTAAACTTTTTACCGTTCTCGGTTTTTTGAAGAAATCCGTTGTTTTTGACATAAATACATTTTACAGTGATGCCATCTTTCTCACAATAATGTATTTATCTCAAAAACGACGAATTTCTTGAAAAAACTGAAAACGACAAAGAGTTTCTAATTAGCATATCTATTTAATTTAAAATATTATAATTATCGAATTATTGATGGTTTTCATGTAATATTTGTTTATTTTGTTCTTGTTCTATTGTTTTCTTGATAAAAGTTATATTCACAACAGTAAGTTGCAATAAAAATACAGAAGTTTTTTATATTCCGATTTGTTTGTAAATCGGACCTTGCAAAATATCTGTGCACAAGCCTCTAAGATCATATCTAAAGTCGTTATAAAAAAAACCAGCGGTTTCTTCACATTTTACCTTGTAATGTTTCTCAGATTATTTTTTGGCATGAGTACTCTAACGATCGGCGATTCGATACGTTGCTATTCTTTCTAGGAAGCCGCGAACTAATCCGAGAGTTACAAAATGAGTAAAACGATCATCCCTGTTTGATGATTAATGTGACAGATTCCTCTGTTTTGCATCTGATTCCTTTGAACATTTCGAAAAAAGCTAATTTAGTATTTAGTTTGTGATTAACAACCTCCCTTGGGGCAGTATGCAACGTTACTTCCACTACTCAATTTTTATTGATATGCATTTTTATTGAAAAATTCAATTTTATTTCCAATCTTTGTTTCTACGAAGTTAAAACATTAAGCATAAAAGAAAGAATAATTCATTTTAAATATTCGATAAGAAAAACCCGACGCTTAAGCCATCAGAGCGCACAACCTGACGTTTTTTTAGTGTCGGGCTTTTTTTGTTACTCAGCTCAGATGACTCATCCGATCTAACGTTTTTTTCAGTCAGTTTGCGCAACGAGACGAAAAAAACGTCAAAAATCATCATTTAGGAATCAGATTGGAACGGATAAAACGCCACGTTGGATTTATTTTTTAAAGAATGATTCACAACCTGACGTTTTAAGAGTCAAGGTTGAAATGGTTAAAACGTGCGTCTTGTTTACAGTGTGAACTTCTCTACAAGAACTAATCAAAAATTTTTGGTCGGTGATGTATATGTTAAAAAGCATATGAAAGATTTCGAACAGCGCCAAAAAGATAAACTTTGTAATTTAAAAAACGACATTATTCGTTTGTTGTTTGAGATTGAACAAAATTAAATTAACTATTTTGTAGCTTGTGAAAAGCTCCATCTTTCAGTTATAGTTCGAATTTTTCTGCATTAAAACCCGTAAAAGCTTTTTTTTGTTTGTGAGTCGCTTTTTCTCTCATGAATTTTGCTATCCCTGATTTTGCACGTTCTCATGTTTGAGGTTTGTGTATAATTTTTGAAACATGATTTCATACGTTTTGAAGCGGAATGTAGACCACGATAATGTTAGAAAGGAAGATAGAGGAAAAGTACGCAGCGACTGAGACTGGAACTCTGAATCCTCTCTTCGTAGACCAGAAGCGTTAACCACTGAACTGCCGAAGCATGGTCCAATCGCAACGAGGAAATCCAGAGTTCGAGTGCCAGTCAAGGCGCATTTTCCTCTATTTTTCTTTCTAACTCGTATAATTCGGTCAAAAAATTTTTTTTGTATTATTTTGGTCAGAAATGATTGCTCTACTCAATTTAATGGCTAAAAATTGAGTAAGATACGAAGATACTTATACGATGCGGAAAATATAGTCTAATCTGAACCTTTTTGATCGGTTATCAAGAAATCGACTTATGTGTTCTGATATAGTAGATGAACTCTTCTTTACAAGAAAGAGCAAAAAAAAACGGCTCTAACCGCTTTCAAAGAAAACGTAAAATTCGAAGAAAAAAATCTATATTTTAGAAATTTAAAATTTATATATAGAAAACAACTAAAAACGACTAAAAATTTTGATTGGTTCTTGTAGAGAAGTTCACGACGTACCTTTTAAACAAGTCTCGTGGACTGAAGGAAGAAGAGATAAAGGAAAAATGGCGAGGAATGGCATTCTTTGTGGATCAGCCATTCATAAACGAGCATTTCTCTCCGATATATTTTCCTTCCAATAACTGTTTGTTATATTAGTTGTAAAATTTAGTCTAATTTTTTCTTCTATTGCATTTCTTATATTTGTGAAAACTAATATCATTTGAACGACTGGTGTTGTTCTTCTCCGTTTAAACTTTGTTGTAAAGGATTTTTGTTCAATAGTTCGAATACTGAATCTTACATATGCTCAGAAAATTCCATATTGTGTATATATTGAACTTTTTCTTTTCAGATTATTCTTTTTATTCAATTGTTGAATATTAGTAAAGAATAATTAATCTAATTATTGTGCGTTTAGAACAAAACAGAAAAAATGGCTCATAAAATTCGATTGCAATCGAGTGATGGTGATACATTTGATGTTGATGTTGAAATAGCTAAACAATCAGCGACAATAAAAACAATGCTCGAAGGTAAGAAATCGACGATATAATGGCAACTTAATTTAAATCCCATCTTTTTTAGATCTTGGTATGGAAGATGAAGACGATGTTATTCCTTTACCAAATGTCAATTCTGCAATAATGAAACGAGTACGGTTATTCGTGTAATAAGTATCTGATACACCAACAAATGTTTTCTAATACACTATAGAATTACTTGTGAAACTTCATCGTCTTTATTCTCCAAAGGTTTCTCAGATGAATGATGGCTATCTCAATTAACAAAGATCTGAAAAACATACTCTGAAACACCATCATAATTGTAGCTAAAACTATCGTTTTTGTTTCCTGTTAGGTTATAACATGGTGTACACATCATAAAGATGATCCTACACCACCTGAAGACGATGAAAATCGTGAAAAAAATACAAATGATATAAGTTCATGGGATCAAGATTTTCTTAAAGTTGATCAAGGAACATTGTTTGAATTGATACTTGTAAGTGTACTGTTGTATTTCGACACGTGAGTTTACTATTACCTACTTTTCTGTTATCATTTCATAGGCGGCTAATTATCTTGATATAAAAGGTTTACTGGATGTTACATGTAAAACGGTTGCCAACATGATTAAAGGAAAAACGCCTGAAGAAATACGTCGCACATTTAATATTAAAAATGACTTTACACCTCAAGAAGAAGGTAAACAGCATTTTCTTACGTAAGCACAATGTTCAATATTTTATGTCTTTCTCGATATTTAGAGCAAATCAAAAAAGAAAATGAATGGTGTGAAGAAAAATAAGCGAGTAAAATTGAAGATAATAAATCAAATTGGCTATTAGATTCTTCTACTTAGTACGATTCTTACTATTACTACAAATTCAGTTTTTATATACGTTCTTATTTAAGCGATATTTTTGTGTATATTATCTGCTTTCTATCTATTTCGTTCTTTTTGTTCTCGTACGATTACTGCGCTTACAAAAAAGTTTCGTCATGTGTGTCTATTGACCATGTATGACAATTAACTAAATCTACAATTTTTTTTCTACGATCTTTTTCCTTTGTATTTTATACATAAACTAACGGTAACTGTGCGATCAAGTTTGTGACACCGGTTAGAAAAGTATATAAGACAACGTTCGTTTACTGATGACAAGGACGGATGTTCTTGTTAATGTAAGAACTGAGTAGAGTCAAGAGAGAATGGGAGGAAAACGATGACGTAATAATTAAACTCGTGATCGAAACTAATCGCAAATCACTCAACCATGCTGTGGAACTAGTTTACAGAGAATTTCGGTTACAACAAACACAAACGGCAGCAACTCATCAACAGGATTTCGAATAGGAAATGATCGTTGTAGTCTAAGTACTTTTCATGTGTTTCGTGAGAAACTAATTCGCTCTTTAGTATTCGCTTTTACGATTACTCACAATTAAAACTTTTCTTTTTCATTACTCACTCATTCTCTAGTGATTAAAGCATTTAAAAATAGCTTATTGAACATTTTCAATTCAAATGTCTATTTTTCTGATTACTTTATATGACGCATCATTTTACTAATACGCACACGTCACTAATTTTATTTTCAAATCTAGAAATCAACAACCGGTTCATGAGGAAAACTGCAGTATAAAAAACTCTTTTTCGTTTCGTTATACAAAAAATTAACAAATTTCTCGATTTCATACACACACACACGATTAATACAGCGGAACAATAAAAGTACAGACAAAAATAGAAAGGAATATTATTCAAAAGTTTTCTTGTTGCTGATGATGTTGATCTGCTTCGTTTGTTTGTATCTGATGAAATAATTCATTTAACGGTATATTATATCGAAAATTCTCTGGTTTACCATCTTGTCTTAAACCTCGTTGAATAAGCATTGTAGGATTTCTATTTATTGTTGCTACACGTGGGATCAATGTTCCATCATCTCGAATTGATTGACAAAATGGTGGTGGTGATAAAACGATATTTGATCTTTGTTGCGGTAAAGATCTTAAACTATCGAAACGATCGGGTGGTAATGGGGCGGCTTTTTCCCGTAATGATTCGATAGACGAAGGTATCGAATGGTGTTCATAGCGCTTTAGGATTCTCTAAAATGGAAATGGAGATGAAATGCTTAAAAATTCAATGAAATATTTTTTTCATTGGCAGACTATACTTACTGCGCGTTCTTGTGACTCTGTTTGATATTTAATCAAACGACGAAAATGAAAAAATGTTGTGAATATCCCAAATAACTGAAAATAAAAGATTTAACAAGTAAAGATGATCCGACTGAACGCTTGCTAAACAAAAAAATATGAAACATTCAAACAAATACGTTTTTTGGATGTTGTAGTAAACAATATTAACATTTTTCTTACTAGTGTAGTCAAACGAACAGCCATTATTATAAATAACACTTTTCCTTCGATTTTTTCAATAAAATGCTAAAAGAAGCGAGTAGCCTATGAGCGGTGAATTAAAGAAGCGTTCGTGTCATACCTGACCATGAGTATTCTGTAACGACGCAATCGTTGACATTCCGTCAAGCAGTAACAACACCATCATTAGAACGGCCCAAACAAATAAAAGCCACGGTTGAGACTGTAAATACATGTGTATGTTTCAACGAAAGATAGATGACTTTAGTTAATTAAGCATACCAAAAATATGCCACAGATAAGAACAGTGGTTAAAACTGCTACTGTAAAATAAACTCCTAAGGAAATCCATGTAAACAGTAATTTCACATCTAAAGGAACGAAAAAGCGTAGAGCTGGTCAAAAAGAAAGATAGTTTGTATTGATTAATAAGTATTTGTTCTTCCATTTTTAAAAAAACTTCTTTCTTTGACGTTTTCGTATATCTCCAACGTCCTACACCAATCCAGAGAAAATTTTCCGATTAACAATCGAAGCGAAAATAGTTTAAGAATTACCGAATAATGTTAAATTAGGCAGGGCCAGGAAGGTCTTCTGTTTCCGTATCGGTTCAAATGAACTTAACGCTTTTATGAAGTAGTTCTATTCCCTTCAAATATTGATGACTTACCGTTTTCTCGAGTTAAATTTACGAGAGTGTAAAGGCCAATGGTTGCATAGATTATCTGGAAACAAAAGATAAAATCAATTTTAGGACAAATTCGAGAAATTCTAACGTACGATAATTATCAGTGCAATCCATGTTGAAAATGTTGACCATTTGATTTTTCGATATAATGTCTGATCAAGTAATGACATTACGAAGTGATTTTCGAAAAGTTACATCAATGCAATAAATTTAGTAAATTCTTTAAAACGTGGAAATACAGTATTGAAAACACGTGTATACAGTGGAAGAATAGAAAAGAATGAATATATGTCAACGGAAAGAAAAAACAAAAAGTTAGTAAACTGTTCTGTATATAGATAAGTGTATTCCAGCTACAGTTATAGATATACGTGCAACAATTTAAATAATCCTTCTGAAAAGAAAATCGTCATTTATTCATCATAACTTGAGTTCAAAGTTATAGCGAAGAGTTTTTAAATACGAAAAATCACGTGCATGTGTTATCTTTAGTTTGAAAGCATGAGCGAATGAGCTAGTTTGGACAACATAAAGGAGAATATGTGCGAATAAGTTAAGCTTTTGGCTGTATCTATTACTCGTTTAAAAAAGGCTAGTATATGACTGTTTTCTGAATAACTCTTGATAGAAAAGGACCAGCGAACTGCGGTTGACTCGAAAGAAGAGACTTGAAAGATGCTTCCATAAGCAGAAATATCTTTAGAAGGATTTTTAAAACAGGTTTTCAAGTTGATCTTTAAAAAACCAGACCGTGTCCCAAAAATTTTCAATAGGGAGATTGGGTTATGTTCACTTTTTTACATAGACTGTTAGTTAAAGTGTTCTCTTCAAAATGGGAGTCAAACGAGATTTTGATTTCCAGCGACTCGAACATCGTGTCAGATTTCCTTGGAGTCTGAAAACACTCGAAGCCTATTTCCAAGCTTGAAAACGAGTAGATTATAGGTGATCGACCATGCTGAGTCTCGTGGCAGTATTTGTTATTAGAGAAACATTTAGAAAGTCAGCGAAAATCAAGTTGTACAAAAATTAGACAACTGATTGTACAAGGTAAAGGAATTCTGTTTTAATTTTCAAGAAAAATACTAGCTTTTTGATATTTTATTACAAAAGGTTGAATACAGAGTTTTCGTACGCAGTGAGTCGTTTCTGACCTAGTTCGAAGAAATCAACGTTACAGTTATAGAGCTCCGATGAATTTTAACTTACATGACGGCGGCGCATTCTAATGTGATGTATACAAAAGCTTCTTCAAGCACTTGCTTTCTTTTACATTGTATGAGTAGAGAGAAAATATTTTCAAAAAGAGACTAGACGCTACAAGACAAAAGTTAGTCGAGAAATACCAGGCTCATTACTTCTAGACCGCTCGTTATAGGTCTAAAGACAACCTACTTACAAATTTATAAAAATCTATTACCAAGACGCGCCGTCTGTTCATAAGCCGCGGTGAAACAACGGACGTAATAATTATAATAAGATTAAATAACAGTTTGCTAAACATAAATTAGATTTCGAAAAGAACTAATTACGATAGGATTGTTTTTATAACAAAGAATCGGATTTTTTACCAGAGAAATGTTAAAGTGTTATCGAGAACATATTTTTCATCTTTTTCTTACAAATTTCGGAGAGTTTCCTATCTAAACCGCTTTACTTATGAACATATTATGAATAACGCACATGTACAAGAATCAAAAAAGAATATTACAAGCTATAATGAATAAATTAGACGAATGAATGTAATCAAAAACGAAATTCTGGTTGTCCGTAAATTTCTCGCAAATTTACAATTGACGATGGTAATGGTAGAGGACACAAGTTTGGAAGTATAAACGGTACTGTTGGTAGTAGTGGTGGTGGTGTTTGTGTGATGCCGTATGAGTTATTGTCCGTTATCTGCATATTTCCCGGTTTGTGTCGAACACGTTTATTTTGAAACCACACACGAATTTTAGCTTCGGATAAGCTTAATTGTGTACCCAGACGTTCAATTTCAAGTGAACTCGGATAACGAGTTTGATTCGAATAAAATTGATTTAATGTCCATTTCTGAATATCAGTAAATTTTGTACGTTCTTGTGTTACTTTCTAGAAAAAAAGAATGATGTGAGAAAAGTTCAACCACCTTTTGTTCATCTAAGCTGTATTTAACGATACACAAAACAAATAATTCAACCCAAGACTCTCTTTTTCAAGCAGTGAGATTAAAAGAAAACATCCAAGATTATTAGCTTTTTTGGGAAGCCAATTCTACATACCTTCGTCTTATTACTCGTCTTCTTGTGTTTATTTTTGGCGGTTGATTTGTTATTCTCTTTATCTGATGAATGATTTTCTTGGATGTCCGCTGTTATTGAGTTGTAACCCGTATCTAAAAGAAAAGACAATGGTTTCGAAGATAAGAGTAAGAGAAAGTTAATACATGTTTGCAATTACCTGCACCAGTTTAGCTAAATATTTAAATAAGATTATAGTAGTAGAATAATACTTACCGTTCAGTTCAATCGCAAACAGTTCAAAAAAGCTTTCCTTACCTTGCAACATAGAACGAAAAGATGAAGATGTTCTGCTGTCAACAGAAGCACTACTGACTGCTAAGGATTCAACTGATTTAAAGTTAATTTTCGTTCGTAAATGATTGAACGGTTGAAATGCTGAATTTGATGAAGATATAAGGGAGGAAAAAGATGGTAATGTCAAATTGAATAAATGGCGGTTTTGATGATGAGGAGTACTTGTATATGGAGGACTACAAAAAGCAATAAAAACATATTTTTATATTCAGCTACAGAATATGAGAGACGGGTGTTTTCCGTACCTAAGCGGTGTATCATTATCATTACCAATATTAATAGACAAATCACTATCACTAGAAAGGCGACGACTCATATTTCGATAAGTTATCGATTTATACAAAAGGAAATGAATAAAATATTATATTCGGAAAAATTTGATATTATATAGGTAGGAGAATGAGAGCATTTTCTCTTCATAAAAATTAAGAAAAAATGAGTCTTCCATACAGAGCAATTTTTTTTATTCGTTCGTTTCGACAACTTTTTTATATTGTTTGATTCCTTTTCGTATCTGCTTCGTTCTAATTCTCACGTGCCGTATATAAAACAATTAGGTATATTGATTGTTATTGAATATTTTTATCCAATTTAATGGGTAAATGACGAGAAAGTATCTCTATTTAATCAAATTGATTGAATAATCTCACTCCGACAGTATAAAATGACAATAATAATTGATCTATTCTCTTGTTAAACGGTTTAAGGAGAAGACATATGTGTCACATATCTTAGATTAGATATACATCGTTCCGATATACAAGGGTTCTGAGTACTTGCTAAATTTTTCTAATACAAAACCCTTTAGTTAGCGTTTTTTTTTTCGGTTAGGTTCTACAGTTATTTATGATTACAAACAGATCTGTATTCTGGCGTAGAAGAAGCAACCTAAGGCTGCCAACGTTGCAGAGTGTGTTCCAGTGTGTGATGCCATCAGCATGCAGGATTGTTTTCAAGATAAACTGTTGTAGATAAGAAAATAATAATTTAATTCTCCTACATTATTTTGAAAAACTGGATCATCATCGCATTGATGGATACAAGTTTTACTCAAATCAGTAATTTATATCGATTGCACCTGTTAGCTTTGTAGAGAGAAAAATCACACTCTTATCTACGTAGAAGAAAATATATCAAGTATTCTCTACCATAACCATCTGAACGTTATACACTGCACTACCCTGGAGGATGTACTTGACAAGTGTTTTTACTTCCAAGTTCTTGTCTAAGTACTCACCAAATATCTTCACTTGATTCGCTTCAGCCAAGTACTTAGTCGAATTAATCACTCTTTTGTTTTGCATCGACAAGTTGTATATAAACATCACAATATCAATCGGTATAAACTTAGAAAATAAATTCAGATATTATTTCTACTGAATTGAACAAACTTGGTAGCGTCTACTCTACAAAAGTACAGAATGGCTGCAGAATACGTACAAAATACAAAATAAAGATAAATGAATGCACTTTTTCAATTAAATTTATTTACACTGAGGCAGTCTAGTGCGTGAACAACTACTGACAAGTAAATTTACCTCTGAAAAAAGGCAAGCACCGACTTCATTATCTAAGCGATGTACTTGGACACAAGTACACTCGCTAGGATAGGTAGAGTAGTAATCAATTAAGATCTGGGACGGAATTGCTGTTTGAAGCAATGTTTTATTTTGTCAAAATATGACCAATAACTTATCTCGCACACATACAGATCGATTAACGCACAGCAGAGAACAGAACTATTCTGTCAGATTGTGTTATAAACTATTTAAATGATCTAAATGTCGGTGTACGGTTGATTGATTTGTCATAATTCACCTCATACTGTGTTCATCTCGTTGTTTGAATGATAGGACTCAATGAAACATTCATTTTGGAATTCGAAGTCCTGGAAGATGCTTATGAATATAAGTAACCAATATTATAGTACACTCGCGAGAAAACCTCGCTAAGTAATTAAACGATTTTCGCGTTACACAACTAGTTACACTAGTTCGCAAAAACTTATTGTCGACATAATCATCTTTATGTCTGACATGAGGGACATAAGCAGATTTGTAGAAACTAAAAACACTAAAAACGGAATCACTCTGACGACGGAATCTTCCCAAAGCTTTCCTACATTATGAGAGACATTGAAAAATTGACCGCGTAAAGGTCCCTAAAATCATTTTTCGAGAAGTAGTTCCAGAAATGATACTAGTGCCACTATATCGATAATTTATGTTGAATTATAAATGCAAACCCTTTATCACAACAAAATTCATCATCCACGTGTGGCACCAACAAAAACGTAAGGTAAATCGTCTGTATGTAACAACTAAGTCGAACCAAAACGTTTCTATTTTAAGTACATTTCATTCAAGATTTTAGAGCTGTGTATGTACAACTCCAGAATATTTTAATTACTCATTTTCTAGCTACAACTAATGACGTTTACAGTTTATGAAACTTTTCGAAGAAATAAGGAATCTTTAAATCAGATATAGTTCTGTTTCACGTAAAAAAAGGTTTCCAGCATGTAAAATTATCGTATTTCTAAAATAGAAATCATCTTGAAAATCTTGTATTTGTGATTCAGCTGTAAAGGAGGGATGGATAAGCGGCAAAATCCGTCCCCTCTCAGGTAATTATTGTATCCAGGGATTTAATGTAGTTTATCTCCGGCATTAAAACTGATACATTTCTTACCTTAAAAAACGCTTTCTGATGTTTATTGGTAAAATTTTCGCATTCAAAAGCCCTCTCTCTCTCGCTAGATCAACTATACTTAGTGTATTTTCATTATTTTACCTCTTTTGCTCACAAAAAAACTCAACTATTATATATCATTCGGTAGAGAATTTTACGGGCTACAAAATACTATATAGACTATTGAGAAGAAAATATAGCCAAGTACTCTGAAATCTAAAATACTCTGTAGCATCTGAGCAAACCAGTAGGTTAACAAGAAAAACTAGGTCGTGTGTAAAAATTTTCCAATAGGTTTTTTGTTGTTGGACTATTGATATTTTTTGATGGACTGGTAGCCGTTTTCTCCTCTCCAAAACGGAAGCCAAGTGAGACCTTGATTTTCTGCGGCTCGTACGTTGTATTGGATTCGCTACGCTTGTATTGGACTAGCATCCGGTGGCTATTAGCAGCCTTGACAGCTGGTGAATTATAGGTAATCGATCACGCGAGATTTCGTGGCAATATCTGTTTTTAGAAAAAGTTTTAAAAATCTAGCGAAAAGCGAGTTTTTATAAAAACTAGGGTTCTGAGTCTTTTCGTTTTCATGTTATATGAAAACAGTCTGAAAACCCTAGTTTTTATAAAAACTCGCTTTTCGCTAGATTTTTAAAACTTTTTCTAAAAACAGATCCCGTGTGATCGATTACCTATAATCCATATTTCAGAAGTTATTACCAGTATACACACTACGTGTTATTCATCCTAATGTGCTTATTTTCCAACCCAGATGTGGTCTGGATGTGGGTTTTAGGAAGCACAGACTTGAAGCTCAATTTTATTAGCATTCGTACAACGTAAGGCTGAAACTATTGGTATCGCTTCGCCATTGCTTTTACGACCTTTATTTGTCTTTAGATACATCAATCAAACAGTAGGTTATTAAAATGGTCATTATGATGAACTGGCTGATCATATTTGGTCAAGTACTAAATATCGTCGTCCATTTTACCATCATACGAAATAATAGGAAAAATGTTGATACAAATTAATGTAAGAACGTTTTTTTCTCTTTTGACTATTAAATATATCTGGAAGGCTTCTCTAATCAACGAACTATGTATTTTTTAACTTTAACTTACCATTGATCGTTATACCGCAAAGTTATTTTGGTAAACTCGAGGGTATCTTTAGAGCATGCTGTAGACGATTATGGTTCAGTTTAAATTGGTAAACATTTAAACCATTTCTAACACTTTCATTCTACTTTACTACAGGATAGACCATTCTGATAAATGTCCCGCTCCGTTCATCGTTTCTCCACTTTTTCGTCGTGACTCACATCGACTTTATTTAGATACGTCAAAATGGATGTCATTTAGCGGCATGGTTTGTTATTGTTAAAATGTATCAGACAGTATTTAAATACTTTAGGTCATCCGATTTTACCAATACTGAACAAGAAAAGTTCGAATATTTTTATTATAGTCAGTATTTAAAAACTAACTTATCGAATTTGATTATAGAAAAATCGTTTGATATGTCAACAAGATTTCTTTGAGTTGTTTATAGTGATCTTATAGGCGAAAAAAAAGGTAACGAAATATATTTCTAATCATGAAATTCGCAAATATTAGAGTTTGGATAAAAAGCCTCTATTCAGATGAACATATGATATTTTTATTTACTGATAAAATGCACACTATTTTTGACTTTACCAAGGTTTTCTGGAAAATGTCTCTTAAAAACATTTTCAGAAAAACTTAAACGTGCATAATTCTGATCATCTGCCCTCCGACAAGGTTCAAGTAAATACCGTAAATTTATAACACTAATCTGAAGAGCATGATTTCCTAGTCAAAATAAACGTTGAATAGTTTTAATTTATGTTTACATCAAAAGTTATGAGAAACTTATTGTCGGTTTAATTGTGTAATCTTTCTCACTTTCGGCAATAACAACTTTAAAGCACTAATAGAATGCATTACATCACTATGCAATCAACAGGACCTTTTTATGGTAGTAACTAGTAAAATTTACATTAAATCCATTTTTTTCTGGATACAAGAAACTAGTCAATACTCATTCCCGAGTCTATTAAATATTATAAATTACTAGAATGAGAGAGAGAGACCTCTTTGTGAAAATAAAACAATAGAAAGAATATTCAAAATAAAACTCATCGTAGTAAAAGAGAATGCTAACAGATACACAAGTTTGTTTTTCTACTCTTCCTTAAGAGGCAGTGCACGATAGAAACGTACTTTTTCCGCATAGCTTGCTCAATGAACTATCACAAAT